ATTGGACAAAAACATGTTGAGGTGAAACATCCATTAGCCTGAGTTTCTGAGTGAGACATCAACAGAGCCTACTTGCCAAGATGTTAGTGTAGGTATGTAGAATGAGTAAGAAATAAAAATTTCTTACGCTAAGCCATTAATTTGGGAGTTTTGTTCCTGTATCATAACCTATTCTTTCTTGACTGATATAGTCAGACAAAAATAATTCAGGAAATACCTTACTGTTAATATCTTCTAGACAGTGAACTAGAGATTTTTATACTCTGCTTATCACATTTATTGTGAAATACTATTTTGGGAGGCCTTCCTGGTAATATAAAGTTCATAATACAATGAACTAATTAGATTGTTTAAAAATAAAAAAGAAGAAAAACTCTTTAAAATGGATCAGAATTTGTCATCACATGCTCTGCAGCAATTTTCATTTGGGGGAGTTTATCTTATATGGAAAAATGCAATTATAATAGATATCATTCTGATGTTTTAAATCCCATTGTTAAGTCAGACTGATAAACTATTCAAATAACAGATTATCATATCACTTTTCTTATCTAACATTTTTAATGCTAGACCGAAGTGATGTTTATTTAACATTTTAAGTGTTTTGACCTAGAGTGGGACATATCCCCTATAGCAGTCTCCTGTGGGCTAAGTCAGCAGCACAGCATTTCTATTAACTACCATTGCCACTCAGAAAAGACTGAGGACATTTAAGCAGTATGCATGGGCAGCTTCTTTCTTGGAGGTATTAGAATGATGTTTCAATGTGTGGTGACATCTTTTATTATCTCCTCCAAAGTAGATTGTTCTTTTGTAATAAGTTTGACTCCTTATAGCTTTGAGACAATTGAGAAAAAAAGAGCCATAATTTCTTAAGTAATATGTAAGCATGTAACACATTCGAATTTCCAGAGTGAGGAAGTTAAAATCACGATTTAAATACAAAAGATTTTTTCAAAAACAAATCATTACCGTGAAGTAATTTTGCATACAAGTTAAAGTCCAAATTTCAGATATTATTCAAATATTTTGGGCTAAGTCATTGTCTAAAGTCCTTCTTTGTGTAAAACTTTGAACCCAGGTCTTTTCACCACAAGTCTCTGATATTTTAACTTTACAGCATACATGTCTCTGAAGCCAACCAGAAATTTCTAAATACAATTTCCTAGGAAATTGGTTAAAACAAGGTGAAATGAACTGCACTCCCATCTTTAATGTATCCATAGATATGCATTTATATGTTTGTGTCTATGTATGTAGCGGGGAGGGTACATCTGTTTGAAACAGAGAAACAATGACCAGAATGTTGGTATTCTACTAAGAGCAAATTAATGTTGCTGCCCAAATTCCAGTCATTTTTGAGTGGACAAGGGCTGCATAATTTACTTAATCCACCACTTTTCATTTCAAGTAATTAGGTTAGGGAAGTCACGCAACTATTAACAACCAACCTATAGATGGATCAGAAGCTAATGGCACAGTGTCCAGATTTAATCAGCAACAAGCTTAGAACTGAATATAGACTGATTAGGACACAGAGTTGGTGCTGTTTCTTGGAACTAAGAAATAAAGTCACAGTAACATTGAAGGTGAGCAAACGGGGAAAGCCTGAAGGGGTTGAGAGAGAGAGAGACAGAGACAGAGACAGAGAGGGATTTCAAAACAATGTATAAAAATAATAAGAAAAAGTACAGCCTCTGAGAGACACAGAGAGAGGTCTTTGTTACCTAAATTCCCACCATTTCCCACCAAAACATTTACAGACTCAGTGAATTATATTTATACCTTGACTCTGTACTTAGAGCATCAGCACCTGACATCAAGTCAATTGGTTAACCTAACATATCTAGCACCTAAATTAAAATAATAATAATAATCATCCATCTTACAAATATATTTTAGCAGCTTATTGTTGAGTTGAGTTTATAAGCAAATGCCAAAATTCTTAATATGCTTAACTTAGTCCTCTTCATTTCATAATCAAATGTTTCTCAAAGTAAAACCTGAGCTATCTGCATCAGAACCATCTGAGAGATTTCTTAGGAATGTTGGCTTCTGAGAAGTTCTTGAATTTGGGGAAAGATGCTGGGAATTTGCAATCTAAATGAGACATTTCTGTGATCCTTGTATACTTTAAACTTTGAGAATCCTTGTCGCATTCTTTTTGGCCTTATCATATAGTATTAATAATATATTATTTTTTTGCTAAATTTTGCTCTTTTTTCCTCCTTAGATAAAACTGAAGAAATATTAGAGCAGGACATTTACTTCAAGTTAATCGAATCCAGTATTCTTTTTCCTAGAAGAAAAATAAAAAGTACCCTAGAGATATATCCACATGTGCTTCTAAATCTTCTTATGATTATTATTTTTTAGTTTTTGAGATAGAATAAACACTTGACACTTAATTAAAAAATTAGTTATTTTAATACGAGGCATTCTAATCTAATGATACAAAAGCAACATCGATTATAAAGATATTATCTATATGTTTCTTGCAATGCAAGCATTTTATGAAACATCTAGCAAAATGAAAATCTCAGATATCTAGAAAAGATAGACTTAGCTAATAAAAATTAAATTCAGTTAAAAAGGACTTAAAAATGATAAAATCATCTGAGAGATTTCTTAGGAATTACTAACTATACCATTTGTAATAATTCTATGTATATCTATTGAAAATTATCAACTAAAAGAAGATCATAAATATCTATTAAGTTACTTTGTTAGAGACATAAAGATAATTATCTCTATATCATAAATGGAGATTACTGAGAAATTTGTGAGAGGAAACAGAAAATACATAAATACCAGATGTTTAGAAAAAATAACATAATATCAGATCAAAAACTTAATCCTAAATTGGATGACAGTGAAGGTTTCACTGAATAAGATTTGTAAGATTTACTACTCAGAGATATGAGGAATAAGACATTTAGATAGGAGGTAACAAGAGCAAATGTCAGGTGTGAACAGTTATGGCCTATGTGGAATAGACAGGAGACTACAAGATGAGGACACATAGACAAGAGATAATCATGTATCAAAGTGCTTTTAGCCACAAAAAAAAAAAAAAAAAAAAAAACAAAAAAAAAAAACAAAAAACATACAAAAGCTAAAAGTGGCTCAGCCAACAGAGTCATTTATTATCTCATAAGAGATTGATCAGAGATAGGGTGGTATCAGGATTTGTTCAGTCACTTAGAAACAAGATCCAGGCTCTTTGAATTTTTTGATCCACCATCCTCAGCATATTATTTACTTCTAGATTAACTCTAGCAATAATCCCAAAATGACTGCCAAAGATTCGGGTTTTATATTAATACATTTTATATATCAATATATAGAAAAGGGAATATTTTTTTTCTTTTCTCTTTATCTTTACTATTAAGAAAAATTCTTCATGTTACCAGAAGTTAGGTTTCATATACATCTCCCAAACAATCACTGCTAAAAGAGTGGAATTACCATGGTTGGTGATAGAACAAATGATGAAAAGATAACACAGTAACAGGGAGGTCTTCAGATACCTGAACTTTTATTTAGAAATATCCCATGGCTGTTGATGTATAACCTAATAATGTACAAAAAACTATCACAAGAAGCAAGTTTTCTACTTATCATTATCAAAGGTCTCCAGTGAAATCCATTGATCAAAAGGAAAAGTTTTAACAAGTAAATATAGTCAATAGTATTGTAATGGCTATGGGTAGAGCTACATGGGTGCTAGAGTAATTGGGGGGAGGGTCACTTCATACCATATAAATGTCCAACCAATGTACTGTATGCCTGAAACTAACACAAAATTAAAAATAAAATTAAAAGAATATTAAATTTGAAGTATATACTCACATTCTGTTTTCAGATAAGTGTGCTGTTATTTTCAAGAGGACTAAACTACAATACCAGACTCTCTAATTCATCTTATATTCAAATGATCTCAAATCTGTATCTTTACTATTGGCAGACATCCAACAACACCTTTGAAATTCCCCTCATGTTGACTGGAAACGTAGTGTTAAGGAAAAGGCTCAACTATGAAGACAAGACTCGCTACTTTGTCATTATCCAAGCTAATGTGAGTATTCAATTTCTCTTACTTTCGTCCCATGAATTTATGAAGAGCTTGTTCACAATATGTAAGTACTCTTAGAGAGCTCTGTGTAATTTGCAGCCTCAAAAGGGTAGCCCTGCCTTCAGTATAGTTTGTATATTTTCTTCTTCTGGATGGGGAATAGGATGGAATAATTTGGGAAGATTGTTTTCACTCATTGTAAACTTCACTCTCTGAATCATTTGCACCCATTCTTCAATAATTTCTTTTTAGCTCAAACTGAAGTATTTCTCAAAGCATCGCCTACCTAACAACTACAGCTGAATCACTTTGGGAACTTATTAAAAATGCAGATTCCTGGACCCAACATTAGACTCTGAAAAAAAAATTTTAGAGAGTAGAAGTAGAATATTTGCACTTTTGTTAGCTCCCCAGCGGCTTCTAAAGTACACTAAAAGTAGAGAACTGCTGACTTGGTAATTTTTTCCCTTATAGCTATCATTATTGAATAGTTGTTCACTAAATATTAGCTACCATGACCGTAACCATGATATTTAGACAGTAGTAACAGAAAACCTGAAAAATAGTTGCTTATATAACACTTACATTTTTTGTTATTATTATTTTAATAAAATTTCTAGATTCAAGAGTTAGTTTGAAAACTCATTATGTCACCAAGTGTTTGGATTCCTTCTGTCCTTAAACTCTGCCCTTCCCTTGAAATGTGGTTATTTTTCCAATGCTTATCTGCCTTGTGCTAGAGAACACCATAACCATAAGCAACACAACTACATTTCAAATCTGAGGGTAAACAGGTGGAAAGAATAGTAAAAGTAGGACTTTTTTATATATATTCTATCTCATATTTTTTCTGAGAGGAAACTCTTCCAGTGTCCTTTTCCACCCAGCTTCCACTTATACAACTGGATCATATGAGTCAGCATAGCATAAAGGAAAGTTGAAGAAGTCTGGATGTGGTAAAAGGGAATGAGATAAATCATCTCTAAATGATGTCACATATGGTTCATTTCCTGGGGCTGGGCATATTGATAACTGGAAAAAAAAAATTTTTGGTAAGGAGAAGAATAAGGTTGACATTTTATGAAAAAAAGTAACAGAGCTGACCACAGATAGCTTCTAACATTGAAAAAGTCCCATAGCAAGTGGCAGGGCTATGTTCCGAAATGTTAGTTCAACTCTGAAGCTAGCCTGTGTCTTTAACAACTCCTGTGCATTGTAATCTTACTCATATACCAGAACAGAAAGATAGCAGAGTGGCAAAAGAGAAATATACTTCATCAGCTATTCTGAACAAGTTAACAGTGGGCCCCCCTTTTCAGTGGTTTCTTTTTCTGAGGTTTTAGTTACCCTCGGTCAGCTGCTGTCTGAAAATATTAAATAAAAATTTCCAGAAATAAACAATTCAATAAACAATGTATAGATTTAAATTATGCACCATTCTGAGTAGTGTGATGAAATCTTGAGCTGTCCTGCTCTATCTCACCCAGTAAGTGAATTGTCCCTTTGTCCAGTATATTTATGATGTACATTATACCTTCCTTAGTCACTTAGTAGCCATCTCATTGTTGTGGCATTGCAATACTATGTTCAAGTAATTTCTATTTTACTTAATGCCCCCAGTCATTCATATAACTTTTACTGTAATATATTGATATAATTATTCTATTTCATTATTAAGTATTGTTGATCCTTTACTGTGCCTAATTTATAAATTAAACTTTATCATTGATATGTATATAGAGGAAAAAAACATAGTGTATATAGGGTTTGGTACTGTCCGTGGATCAAGCATCCTCTTGGGGTCTTGGGCTGTATCCTGAAGATAGAGATGTCAAGAAAGGTGTGTCAGGAAACAAAATTCAACCAAATAAAATTGGAGATCTAATTGGCTTTATTGAGCAATTCATGAATCTATCAGCTTCATGACCAGCAAGTAAAACAGTGCTTGGGTGGACTGTATAAAATGGAAGGTTTTTATAGGGAAAAAGGCAGAACAGATGAGCTACTAGAAAAAGAAAATAAAGGATTATTTTTAGGCCAGGACATCATCTTTCCTGGAGGAAGAGAAAGCCTAGGGTTTTATCATACAAATTGCCTCTTCTTCCTTTGGGGAATGGAGAGGGTTCTTGTGACAGTGTTTGACCACACAAATCCAGACTGATTGATTAAGATTACTTTTCTGGTGAAGGTTAAAACTGCAATTAAGTCAAATATTAAACCCAGGTTTGATATCATGGGCTTTAGTACAAACGACACCATTTTGGGCCTGTGGTTTTTGTTTTCGTTTTTGTTTTTTAACAGGGAGAATTGTTATGTATGCAACAAGATGTCACTAAATGGCCATTTTTTCCTGTTCTTAGAGATATCTCACCAGAAAGGGGATGTATATGGATATATGTATATGTGTGTGGTTGGATATTAATAGAAATCTAATTTTTGAAGTCAAATTTCTAAACTTTTATTCAAAATTCTTAAGTTTTTTGTTTATTTGTTTTGTTTTGTTTTCAATTCAATGTGGGCTGTCTTGATGTCCAATGGAAGGGACTAGAGTAAAAATTGTAGATATCAGAAGTAAAATCTATAAAAGGAGGACTCTCAGAATGCTTCAAACAAGTGAAATATACATATTTTTAACTTTCTATGTAAGTGAAAATGCAAACGAAAGATACAATTTCTCATGTTTGACTCAGAATCTAATAAAATTTATAAAAAGATTGCTATGGAATGTATTTGAAAACTAACTTTTATTGTGCTATTTAAAATGAGCTATTTTTTTTAAAAAAAATGAAAGCTGATGAAAATCCAAATTGCTCTCTAATTTTAAATATTTAGAAAGATATCTGGAACAATTTGTATTCAATTTGTTAGACTACTTATAACTAAGGAGAGAGTGATAAGTTTTTACCATGTCAGGGATAAAATTATGAAATAGAAGGGTATACATGAGTCATTGAAAAAAAGAAATGGAATGGGTGAAAGGTTAAAAGATTTGAATTTATCTGTAAAAATTATTTTTATGTAGTTTAAATCATACAGCATAAAATGTGAAAGGAGATTATAAATGTTGGTGTTTTAAAAGTTTTTAGAATTATATATTTTCTAATGTTGTAGAATATACTGAAATTAGAATGCATCACAATTTATTCAAATATGCTTAAGTTTTGTTTGATGTGGGGTTTTGACATAGAATTGATAGCTGCCTTCATGACTCTCATGAAAGACAGTGAGTACAGTATACAGTGGTAAAAGCATGCACTCTAGAACCATGTTGAGTGGATTAAAATCTCAGTTCTGCCATTTACTAGTTGTCTGACTTTGGGAATACTCTGTATGTCAGTTTCCTAACTACTAAAATTAGGATATTAATAAAACTTACTACATAGGATTCTCATGAAAATTAGCAAGTTAGCAAACAAAAAAGTACTTAGACTAATACTTGTAATATATTCTGATATCATTACAGTATTATATAAACCATTTAAGTACCAGTATTTTATTGTTTAAAGTATATAATTAAAAATGAAATTACTATGAGAAAAATTATATATATATATATATTTATATACTTTAAATCTTAGTAGATAATGCCATATTATTTTCTAAAATGTTGCAACATATCACATTCCCACAAATTATAAAGAAGAATGTTCATCATCTCTACATTTTAGATATATAATTTACTTAAGCCAATGGGTTAATGGAGACGGAAAACTGTATCATACTTGCTTGAAGGTTGATTGTAGATGTCTCTTTCCAACTCTTTGTTCAGTGACTTCACATTTGTGGCTATGGTGGGAGAATTTACATTATGGAAAATGACAAATGCTACAAATCAGAGCTTCTTGTCTCAGGGAGCTGGTTGTCAAACATGTACTACTTTGCATGTATCAATATCTATATAATTTAATCTTTATGTTTATATAGGATAATGATATTATATATCTAAAATATCATCGTAATTATTCTTTTATATTCTTCTTTATTATTTTATTGATAGGATGTAAAGCAAAGTATAATGTAAACCATGCACATAGAAAACCTAGATATTCTCTTAGAGTTATAAGGCGATATGAAATGTTAGCAACCAATTTTGGCTTTATAGTAGATGGTATTTAAGAGGCCAAAGGTCTGATGATAAATACTGAATATTACTCAGCTTTGGCCTGACTTTGCTTATAGTAAATTAGTGAAGAAGTAACAACATTTGTTTATAGCCTTCTTGGCCCTAAATTCCCTATTTCTGGTGTTAAAGATACCTTCTACTCTCCCGATACAGGTAGGGTACTTTTCACATGGAAGATATATTTCCTGTTTCAGGGTGACAAAGGAAGGTCAAAGTGTCCTTCTTGCATTGGCTGTTTCTTAAGTAATGTTAATTCAAAATAATCAATATGCCAAAGTTCCATATGTTGGGGTGGCATATTCTGCTCTCCTTTAAAATATTGCAGTCATATGGGTTTGGATATGAAAATCACTTTCTATATTTTTAGATTCAACCTATGTAAACAGCTTTTCAAAACGAACCTCCACTTGACTGTCTACTTCCTACTGATATATGGAGTAAGTGATATTATTACACCCATCGTTTCTAGCTCTGAAGTTTCTCAAGCATATTCCGGGCAGTGGCACTGAAATAGGAGGATGGTGGTCAATGGTTTAACAAACATTTATAAAATGTTCAAGAAATGAAGCTATGTAAGCATATAGAGATATAAAACATGATACTATCCTGTCTGATAGTATGTATAAAAATTAAGAAAATAGGTAAATGTTTTAATCCAAAAAACTTTCTAAACAAACAAAAAAAAGAATGCACTTCTAAAGTGATTTAGACCAAGCCAATCTTGTTGCTTCTGTTTTCTTCTTTGAATATAGAAATTGAAAAAAAAAAAAAATCAAATTGCTAGGTTAAATTTTAACATTTTAGTCAGTGATATCTCCTCTATCTATCACTGGTGAACAGATGCAAGACAAACACCTCCGAAGACTTAGTAACTGAGTTA